GGGGGAAGGGGGGGGGGGGGGGGTCTAGCACTTGAAAAGAAAAGAAAAAGAAAGTTTGTTTCAGCTTATAATGTGGTGAAAATACATGAAGAGCTTTCACAAGGGGTGAAACGCTGCTGTTATTTCCCTTTCTACTTTCTCCCGTAACTGCAATCTATATGAAAACATCCTGACCTGTGGTTTTTTTCATTTGTGATATAAGCATAGAGCTCTTTTGAGCTGTTGATCTGATTGGAAAATCAAATTATGTCACTAGGAAAAGAAACATGTCCGACTTATGATTTGTCAACTAAAAGGGAACAAAAATACAAGATTAAAAATGGGAAATATAGTTTGTGCTGGAAGGTGGTCTTACTCAGCTACTTCATTTTCTTGTGTTTGTTTCCCTTCATGTTTATGTTTTTCGACGTGCTGTTACTCTCTAAGTTGTATGGGTACTTTAAAAAAAGTAAGCTATCTTATTACATTGAGGTTTCAATCAGATAGTTTTGCAATAGGTCTTCAGACCTCTTTTTTCTTCTTTCTTCTTTCTTGAGAATCTTGTGCTATGTGAAAATTTTCATATATCTCAAGAAAACCCAAGCTCTGATGCCGTGCCTCTCCACCTGGTTATTTCTCTTTTCGAAAAATCTGTAGTATGACGTGCTGCAAAGCTAGTCAAGTGGGTGTTAAATATTAATCAAACACCATGGTCTAGAGAGCAATATAAGTTGTTGACAACACATTAATCTAAGCATGGAGCAAGTCTTTTGAGTAGTTGACTGAAGTACTTTAGATTTGAACTCATTGGATGCTCTAAATGCACTCCACTTTTTATCTCCACTTAGCACTTCAAACATAGCCGCCGATGATCCTCTGATGACACATAAGAACTTGCTTCCAACTCTTTGATTCTCATCCCTTATCTTCATCATCCTTCTCCAAATGTCTCTCCCTTTTGTCCTCTCTAACAGTAAATGTCGGCTATGAAATGGTCACTTTCTTAGTGCTGGCCTTTCCATTTATAAAATTTACCCTTGTCAAAAAGAAAATCCTCTATGATGGCAGTATATGGTGCTAAAAAACATTTTGTTGAACCAACAATTTCTAAATGCTGCGACTTATATAGCCTCTCCTCTTGTGTTTTCTTATGCATTGCGTTAAATACTTGGGAAAGTAAATTAAAACTGTAAGTTTTCTATACCTTTTCTTTAGAAGAATGAGATTGAAAAACAAAACAACCTGATCTAAAAAGAATAAAGTGTGGTTAGATGGGATGTGGTGTCTAAATGCAGACAATTCAGATATCTAGCTTAGTATTCCAGGAGAACGACATGATACAAACAACATTAATTACGCCTCAGTCCCAAACAATGTTGGGGTCGGCTAGATGAATNTATATATATATATTAATAATAATAATAAGAAACATTGTAATATTTAAGCCTATTCCTAACTAGTAAGTATTACATATATGAATCTTTTTCTTTCGCCAAATCTTTAGCTAAGTGTGTACTAATTCCAAGGATTTGTAGATCTTTCTTGACAACTTCCTTACATGTGATTTTAGGTCTACCTCGTACCTTTCTAATACCTTCACTTACAATAGTTTCACACCTACGCACCAGTGCCTCTGTAAGGCGGCGCAAGATATGATCAAACCATCTCAAGCCACTTTCTCTCATTTTATCCTCAATGTGTGATACTTGAACCTTTTGGCGAATGTGGTCATTTTTTATCTTTTCTAATCTTGTATGGTCGTACATCCATCTTAGCATTCGTATCTCCGCAATACTATCTTATGAATATGTTAGACTTTAGCAGCCTAATATTCACTATCATATCAAATTGCCGATTTTATAACTCTTCTATAGTACTTACCTTTCTCTTTGGTAGGCATTCTTCTATCACACTACACTCTATTAGTACTTTTCCATTTCATCCTATAGGCAACATCTTCATCTATCATTCCATTCTCTAGAAACAACGAACCTAGGTATTTAAATTATTTGAATTTTGGCACCACAATCCCATCTAGTCTCACCTTAACTTCGTTCTTCTCATGCTGACTAAACTTACAGTGCATGTATTCAGTCTTACTTCTATTTATTCTATAGCTTAGTCTCCGAGGCGCTTCTCCATATCTCAAGCTTTTGGTTGACACCCTCACTAGTTTTGTCAATTAACACAATGTCATCAACAAATAAGATACACTATGAGACCTCATCTTGTATTGTGTTGGTTAGCTCATCCATAAAACTAGGGTAAACAAGTAGGGGCTCAATGCCGAACCTTCTGTATCTCCTACTACTGTTCTCATGCTAGTGATGGCTCTTTGATACATATCCTTTATGACATTTATATAACAGAAAAGGGTCGGACATACCCCTCTACTTTTTTTATTGTTCAATCGTGTCTCTCGTTATACTTCAGATCATATATACCCCTACCATCCATCAAAGTTCTACATTTGCCCCTGTTTTAAAGGACATGACACATGTCGTTGTCTGAGTGAAAGAACCAACCCATCATTAAGAAAACCCATCCAGACTCGGTTACCCATAACCAGTGTTGTGAAGAGCGTAAAGCGAGGAAAAGTGACAACCTCCATTTCACGAGAAGCGAGAAGCGAAGCGCTCGCTTTTTTGAAGTGAAGCGGAATTTAAAAAAAAAATTAAAATAAATACTGTTTTGAAGGAATGCTTTCAATTCTTCCTTCACATGCGACGAAACTTTAGGACAAGATGCGACATTTGGATCACCACCGATTAGATGCGCTTTTTGACGATAGATTCCCCCATTTGAAATCTTATCACAAAAAAGACATCTAATGACCATCTTGTTGGTCTAGCTAACTCTTTCAAAGTAAGCCCAAGCCGGGTCTTTACTATCTTCTTTTGGCGCCATTAAAAGAACAACTACATAACACATAAGAAAGGCAATAAGAACTAAGAATAAAGGATATAAAAAATTAGAGGAATTCTTTGTTAAAAACTGGAAAAATTGGGCAGTAATTTTCTGGAAAAAATTCGCCAGCATTTCGCCGCTTTTTGGACGTTCAGAAAGAAGAAGAAGAAGAAGAAGAAAAAGAAGAAGGAAAATCTTAGAAGTTCAGAACATACCTGTTGAAGTCTTGAAGTTTTGAACTTGAAGAAGAAGAAGAAGAAGAAGAAGAACAACCCTAGTTGATGCTTTGAGATTCTTTCAGAAATCAGAAGTAGATGAAGAAGAAGAAGTCGTTGCTGTTGGAAGTTGAAGAACCCTAGTCGCTGCTGTTGAAGAAGTCCAGACCAGTGTTTAACCCAAAAAACTCGTTTTTAATAAAATAGGGTTGGGTATTTTAAAACAGAGAAGCGGATGCTTCTTCGCTTCGCTTCGCTTTCCCTGTTTCTCGCTTTTTACAAAGAAGCGGTCTCTTTTACTGACCTGAGTCGCTTCACCTTGCTGAAGCGCTGCCCTTCACGCTTCGCCTCGCTTCTCGCTTAAAGCGAGGAAACGGGCACTTTTTTAAACACTGCCCATAACCCGCTCGACTAAGTTGCGCGGGCTCTTCGATTTTGGTGCCGTCCCCGTCCCGATACGAGACGGGGACGTGAGCGGGAGCGGGATACGTCCTGGATTCGGTCAACTGGCTTCGGAAACTTTGACCGGAGTCCATCGACAAATTTGGGAGAAAAATTGAGATTTTGATTTCTCAAAATCAAAAATATAACAGATTTAGGAGAATGAAAGAATAATGTCCATCTTGGAGAATGAAAGATTGAATTCTACAATATTCATGTAAGTTTTTCGCAGAATATCTCTCAAAATTTACAATGTTTTTATAGCTCTATTTTTTATTAGCCGAATTCCCGCACCCGTATTCCATATCCGGATCCGCACCCCCGAATCTTAAAATTTAGATTTTGCCGAATCCAATACTCGGATCCGTCCCTGTATCGGATACCCGCACCCGAAGTCGAGCAACTTAGCCGCCCGACCCTTCTCCCTCAATTAAAACATGTCAAACGAATCCCCTCGTAAAGGACTGACTTGGTTAATATGAATTCCTTTCTTCTCCTTCCCACACCAAAGGACTTTCCGTGGTACTTTATCATATGCTTTCTCTAGATCAATAAATACCAAGTGTAGATCTTTCTTCCTTTCGTGATAAATTTTTATCAATTTTCTTAGCAAGAATATGGCTTCCGTTATAGATTTACCGGGCATAAATCCAAACTGGTTCTCTGTCACTCTTGTCGTATTTATAAGTCCACGCTTTATCACTCTTTCCCAGATTTTCATCATATGAGTTATGAGTTTAATGCCATATAGTTCGCACAACTTTGAATATCTCCTTTATTCTTATAAATTGGTATCATGTTACTCTTTCTCCAGTTTTTGGGCATCCTACTACTTCTTAGTATAGCATTAAATAGCTTTGTGAATGTGAGCCATTCTACTCCGACCTCTACAAGGCACTTCCAGACCTCTATATAGATTCTATATAGATGCTATCTGGACCACAAGCTTTGCGAATCTTCATATTTTTTATGTCATCCTTTACCACTATCGGCCTAATTCTATGAGAGATTTGAATTGCACCCAAGGGTGGATTAGTGGTCTGAGAGGAAAGTCATGAGATTTCGGGTTCAGATTTTCATGGAGGCAAAAAACACTAGGTGATTTTCTTCCTATACCTGAGCCATTGCGGGTAGAGTTACTTGGTAATTGTGATGGTAGGAGGTAGCAGGTACCTAATGGAATAGTCGAGGTATGCGCAAGCTAGCCCAGATACCACTTTCATCACAAAAAGAAAAGAATTAAATAGATATATCGAGAAAGAAATATGCTATAGAAAGATGGCTGGCTGGACACTTTGTGATATTGGATATGTGCTTGATACTACTCCATCTCTGATCTTAGTCTGTATCACTCACCTGAATTATGTCATCCTGCAGGCAAGCCTTTACAGAGGTGCATCACGGAGAGAGAAACCCAGAGGACGTAATCAGGGGTTAACTCAACAGAAAAGGCAAGAAATAAGAGAGGCTTTTGAGCTTTTTGATACAGACAACTCTGGTAGTAAAATAAACCTCAAGGAGATCCATACTAGATGTGGTTATTGATATTTAAATTTCTTTCTGACTGTGTTAATCTTTTGCAACTTATTTAGGAACCATTGATGCCAAAGAGCTCAATGTTGCTATGAGGTTTGTGATAATTTCTTGCTTTGCTTACAACATCCTCGATATCTATTAAATAACCTTCTTTGACTTTTTGATAATTCTACTTTCTCCCACATTCTCACGGTCTGTGGTATCTTTCCTGCTTCATTTTATTGATAAATAAAACTAATATGTTCTTTTTTACAGGGCCCTGGGTTTTGAAGCAACTGAAGAGGTATTTATATGCTAGTTCTATATTCAACTGTATCGTTCTGTTTAACAGCATATTTCATACAGTAGAAGTCTAAAAGATACGGAATGACAACAATATCTGTACTTGTTTCTGAAGCGTATAGTTTGAATTTATGAGATTCAATACTTTACTTTTCGTCCTATTATAGATAGCAGTTTCCTTGCTTTATGATTGCCGACTGAAAGATTCTCTGATTTTGGAATTTGTGTTTGGTTCTTTCGGTTTTTCATATTTGAGTTGCAGATTTATGCAAGGTTTTTTTTGTTTCCCCTTTTGCCGTCGACGCTCCTATACCCTGCATGTAGTGGCCTCTATGTTTTGATTTGTAACTTTCCCCAGCATTATCTTTTTGCTGATATTTCAGTAAAAGCTACTCTTTACTTATCGAAAAAGATTTGCATACCCTGCAATGATTAACATAAATTTCTTTCATCTTTCATTATTTTTTTTCTGTTTGGACACGTTGAGCTTGTTTTAAGGGTGTGCTCTTTCCATTGCTACACTAAGCCGGATTCTTAGTATATGTCTTGTGTGGCTATCAAATAATGTATTACTAGTGACTGTTTAGCAGCTCTTCCACTTTGTACATAATGATTGTCAAAGTAGACAGCCTGGTTACAAATTTCAGAGTGATTTTGATCTTGAAACATAAATTGAGTTGCATTATTTTGTGTTTATCTGTGCTGAAGTGATGCCAAAGAACCTTAGGTAGTTGCACTGAAGGATGTGCAGCTTATTGTTTTGATCCAGGGAAATAAAGGAATCTATAGATTATTGAAAAGGATTTTCTATTTTTCTTTTTCATTTTGTTTTTTTGTTTGCTCTGTATTCCTAGCCTATAACATGTTGGCTGATCCCATTGGCAAAATCTCGAAGATGCATCGAGAAGATTTGGACCATAGGTGCCTGTATCACTATTTTAACATTTCTAATATTATTTGATTACTCATTCACTTGTTATTTGACGCGTCATTTTGCGAATAAGTTCATCTTTTACTCTCTCTCTCTCTCTCTCTCTCTCTCTCTCTCTCTCTCTCTCTCCCTCCCTCCCTCCCATGCGTGTGCGCGCATTTTGTTAATTTGGAGCCTTTCCATCATGTCATATTGTCTATTTCTGGCTTAAAAACTTGGTTTTAGTTTTTCTTCTTCTTTTCTGCCCTTGTCAGGTTTTCTCATATGTGTTAGTGCACTCATGATCTCTGTGTTTGTTATTCCAGGAGATCAATCAAATGATTGCAGAAGTTGACAAGGATGGCAGTGGTGCAATTGATTTTGATGAATTTGTGCACATGATGACTGCCAAGTTTGGAGAAAGGGATACTAAAGAGGAGCTCAAGAAAGCATTCGACGTTATTGATCAAGATAAAAATGTGCCTGCTTTTTCTTGCCCTCCTGCTTTCTGCTTATTTGGTTGTCTTCCTGACAGTTCAGTTGTTCTTTTCGGTTGGTTACTAATCATCAGATAATTTAAATGCAGGGGAAGATCTCTTTTGCAGACATTCAAAGAATCGCCGATGAGTTGGGCGAGCGATTTACTGACAGAGAAATACAGGAAATGATAGAAGCGGCAGATCAAGATCGTAAGTTAGGCTTTATTATCTAGTTTTCCTCTTTATGCTTTAGTGCTTCTACTTGTTTCAATATATGTTGGTATTTAAGATATTTTACTGGTGGAGCTTCTGAAACAACCTAGCTAATCCAAAAACTGCTATACCCAAATTCCAAAAATTGACATCTTAATATATATTACCAGTTGTTTAGGATAATATAATAGACGTACTAAGAAGAAAGCGTATCTGTTCCAAACCTTAGTTGTTGACCTTGTCTAATGTTTGTCTTCCCCTTAGTTTCTCTTAGCTACAAATACATTAAGATCTTATATTGTTTGTATATGTTACTGTTACTAACTCCGAAACAGATGCTGTAATTTTTGAGAGTCCCTTTTCCATTAAAATTCTAATCTTAGGACATTGTACTCTATTTTTTTCGAGATAAATATTCATTAGCTGTTGAATTGTTGATTGATGTAATGTTTCATGAACTATCTTGAAATTAACTCATCAAGTTGATGATAAAATCCATGGGGGTTCCAGTGGATATTATGCCTTCGATCACATAAACTATTGCATGTGATGCGATTGAGGGATCTGCACACGTTTCAATAATAGCATAGCTATATGATAACAGTAAACATGGTCAATGTTTTTGAAAATATATTGCAGGACTACTTATCTCCAGGCAGTTCCACTTGGTAAAATCTTACTGGCTGATTAGTGAACCTCACAACTCTTGTACTGTTGATCGACATGCCATGACTTATATGTATACGAAGTACTCCAGCCTTTTGTCTTTTGTATGTTTTCAACCTTCATTATTCTTTATAACCTTTTCTCGTTTATGATGTTCTTGACGTTGAGCTCTAGAGTATTGGAGTCCTTCATAATTTAGCTCACTTCATTTTTGGTGGAATATGACGTTGCGCTCTGGCATATTAGAGTCTATCAGAATTTAGCTCACCTCATTCTTTTAGGAAGTGTGATCCTCTTTCTCTTTCCTTCTCTTAGGGCGAGTGTGCAGCCTCTGTCTCTCCCCTTGGTCGGGAGGGAGGGAGGGGATGTTCTAATTTTTTTTTCCGTTTCCCCTGAATCTCTTGCTGCATGTTACGGAATATGTTGAGGAACTCTTGGCTGTAAATATTGCAGGTGATGGAGAGGTTAATGTTGAAGACTTCATGAGGATGATGAGGAGAACTAGCTTTGGGCATTAAGTATTGCTACACCTGGGACATTTGAGGCAATTCTGTTGTTATAATATGGTGTTACAGTTTCAGAAAATATGATTTCGATGTACTAAAGAACAGTCAAAACAGCTGAATTAGAGAACCAATACCCAGGGTCTCCGCTAGTTAATGGAATATGTATTATTCAAGTTTGTGGTAACAAGGATTTCTCGTTTGTAAACAGCTAAGCTAATATGGTCTCGAGTCAGTTTGGTCGATTACATAAATTATCAGTTATCACTATTCATTTTGCTTCAGTTGATCTTTTTCATTCACGGCTAGAAAATTGCCAAAAACCAACCGTCTACGGCATACCGACCGAAATAGAGGAAACCGGCCGAAATTGGTTGAAAAATATGTAAATTGGTCGCAAAAGTCAAATAAAAAATGTCATATAAAGATACCGACCACCATCGGTCGGAAAAAGTGGTCCTACAATAAAGAAATACAGTTATGTCTGACACATGAAAATCCGACTGATGTTGGTCGGAAAATGGTTAATCTTTGACCAAAATCTGGTTAGATTTGCATATTATCTACTAAAAAAACGTTTAATTAAAAAAAATCAAGTATATCGACTGAAATCGGTCGAAAAATTTAATTTTTTTTTTCTTGCCCAGTGTTAATTGTTTTTTTCCGTAACAAAAAATTATTTTTAAAATAATTATGAAGTTACCTACCGATTTCGGTCGGTATTTAATGGTAAAAAATGGTCAACCACTTACAGATTATTGTTATTTACAATTTACATATATTTAACATTCTAAATTACACACACACACACACACATATATATATATTCCTCAATCGTGTGATTTGACCGAGTATATGTTGTTGTTGCTACAACTTAAAGTTTTAATATAGTACTAAATCTTATAGCACTATACATTTTGTTTTTAAATATGTTATAGCGTGTTAGATGCCGATACTTAAACTCGATCGCTCCCACATTAAAACTCAATATTTAATTTACTAAGGCCGTTAGTATGCCCGGGCGTCTTGCCAGTTAAATTCAAGAATGATGCATGTTCTAGGTTAAATAAAGTGATAAAAAACATATCATAGGTTAATCGAATATAATTGAATTTTCAATTGATCCACTGATCAAGTATCCGAGCAAAGTACTAATAAGGTGATCGAGAATAAAACATCAAAGCGTAAATGACTTAGAGTATGTAAGTATGTAAGGCCCTCAGATAATGTAGTGTAAAGCGCGCTTGGATGTTTTATTCTTGATCACCTTATTAGTACTTTGCTCGGATACTTGATAAGTGGATCAATTGAAAATTCAATTATATTCGATTAACCTATTATATGGTTTTCATCACTTTATTTAACCTAGAACATGCATCATTCTTGATTTTAACTGGCAAGATACTCGGGCATACTGACGGCCTTAGCAAATTAAATATTAAGTTTTAATGTGGGAGGGATCGAGTCTACGTATCAGCATCCAACACGCTATAACACATTTAAAACAAAATGTGTAGTGCTATAAGATGTAGTGCTATATTAAAACTTAAGTTGTAGCAACAACAACATATACTCGGTAAAATCACATGATTGGGGAATACACACATATATATATAAATATTTAGGATATATATAGTCCTTAATTAAAATTAATTTTGACTATTTCACTAAATACCGACCGATTTCGGTTGGTTATGTTAATAAAAAAAATTTAAAAATCAGATTACCGACCGATTTCGGTTGGTTAGTTTATGGTCAAAACGGTCAAATAGTCACTTAAATATACCGACCGCATTTTTCGACCGAACTCGGATGGAAATCTATAAATTAGAGCCCCAGCGACGGGCTTCCTTCCCCATTTCTCTATTTTCTCTATCTCTCATTCTCTCCTCCACCCTAAGGCGATTTCACCTAAATCCCACCCAAAATCGATTTCTACCTCCCTTCTCCCCAAAAATCAAAGCCCCCCATCATCCTCATCCCGCCTGCCGTCGCTGCTTCCACCTTCTTGCTGCCGCTGCCTCACTTTCTTCTCCACCACCACTTCTCCGCCGCCGCCACTTCCACCACCTTCCTCCTTTCTCACCACTGCTCAGCCGCCATTGCTTCCACCACCTGAAGGTTAATCACCTATTTTTTTAAGTTACTTTGATTCTTAAATTTAGGGTTTAATTTATTGTTCTATTAGTGTTTATTGCTTTTAGAAATTTAGGGTTTACTTTATTGTTCTATTAGTGTTTATTGCTTTTAGAAATTTAGGGTTTACTTTATTGTTCTATTAGTGTTTATTGCTTTTAGAAATTTAGGGTTGATTAATTTAGGGGACACTAATATTGTTCTATTAGTGTTTATTGCTTTTAGAAAATTAGGGTTAACTAATTGTATTTGTCTAATTGAATGTGTTAACAAATTATAATTGAATGAGTTAATCTAATTATGTGTTAACAAATTATAATTAAATGAGTTAGTCTAATTACGATTAATGCTAGTGTTAGCTATCTTACAAGTCTTTCAATTATATTGCCCGTTAATGGTCTAATTGAATTTGAAAAGAACTTATTTAGGGATATATGAAAACTTTAAAATTAATATGCACTCAAATTATTTAAATTAACTACTTTGTAACAAAAGTTTATTATGTAACTTAAACTATAAATTAATTTGAATAGTCAATTAATATAACATATAATTTATTTGTTCTTTGTGTAGATGGAATATCGTAGTTGGATGTATAATAGAAATTATCCTAATCATCGATTTTTAAGGGACGAATTTATAGAAGGGGTTAAGGAATTTATTAGGCATGCAATGTCACTTGAACCGTTTCGGATTGGAGTGATGATTAGGTGTCCTTGTATGAAGTGCAAGTGTTTGAATTTTTTGGGTTTGGAGATGTTACGACTCATCTTTATAGAAAGAGGTTTATGGATAATTATTTTGTGTCGATTAGTCATGGAGAGGTTGATGGCAGTGATGGTGTAGTTCATAACATAGTTGTTGGTGAAAGTAGTAAGTCGGTTGAGAATAGCGTTCAACATCCAAGATACCATGAAATGATTGCGGATGCTTTTAGGATACACTCCTAGTTTGAACCCCATGAAAGTGTTGAACAAGCTCCTAACGAAGAAGCAAAATATTTTTATGAACAGTTAGAGGCCGCTAGTCGTCCACTATGTGAAGGGAGTACGCGCTCTCAGTTGTCTATTGCGGTTAGACTATTAAGTATCAAATTAGATACTAATATTTCTTAAGTGGGTATGGATTCTCTCATTAACCTTATGAGTGAACTAGTTAATCCAACGTTCAACATACCTGATGATTTCTATAAGGAAAAAAGATTAGTTTCTAGTTTAGGACTCTTGTCTATGAGAATCAATTGTTGTGAAGATGGTCGTATTATAAGAGTGATGCAGATTTAGAAAGTTATAAATTTTGTGAAAAATCTCATCTTAAGCGGGTTTACAGCGGGAAGAAGGTTGCTGTGAAGTCGATGCATTATTTACTTCTTATTCCTAAATTAAAAAGGTTGTACGCGTCGATGAGTTCCGTTCCTCATATGAGATGGCACTATGAAAATAAAAGGCAGCCCAGTATTATGTGTCACAACCCAAGACTACGTGACTGGCACCCGACACACTACCTAACCCGGGCGAACCAACCCATAATAGAATATCCATCTATATGACTAACAGATGCATGCAGAAGCCTTTTGAAAACATAATCATTTTAAATGATTAAAACCATACATGAAGTATAATCTTTAAATACATCATTTTCAATAATTGAAAATACATAAGGATAACAATGTCTCTTTCATTTCATGATATATGAATGACCATCAATTACAACCCCAAAAGAATACTGATAGTCTATGGAATCTCTATGACATGAGAATCAAACATTTGGGACAATCCCGACCAACAGAGAGTAAAGAATCAACATGACAACTACCACGAAATAGAAGTGGTGCCTCACCATGCACCTCGGAAAGAGAGTCATCCTAGGCTCATCCGCTCATCACGTACCATACCTCCTATTGAAACATATAAACTAAACGGGACCCTGGAGAGGGCCCCCTGAGAGGTGAGTACACCACAACGGTACTCAATAAGTGTCATAGACTCTCTCTAACTCAAGTTTCTGGGACAAGGCTTAACAAAAATAATGCAACTAACATTCAATATAAAATGATGACAATTATATCAGTTCATGCTCTTTATCATTTTAAATTAAAAGACAAAATAAATCATGATACAAACTTTTAAAATATTTATATAAATGCGTGATTCTAATAAAATCACACGAAACCATTTCATCTTCATTAAGTCATTGAAATCACTTTCGGCTCCTTAGGCCTAAACATAACAAAATTATCTCTTAACTTTTTACCGAGAATACTATACCGACACCGACATAATAAAAAACTACTAGGTGATCGACCTAGCAACAAGTATTTGACCCTGCTTGTCTGGGCGGCTTCCCGTAGTGCTGTACGAGTCGACTTAACCTCATTACTTTAAGTAATGATCGTTTGCCCTCTCAATGGGGGACTTTATCCCACAAATCTCGGCTTAGCCTTGGAATGTGTCCCTACACCGGCACGTGTAGTTCCATGACAACGAACTCAACATTCGAACCAATCTCGGTGGTCTCCACTAGTAACTCCCAAAATATTTGATATCTCTAAAATAGATTCATAGCATAGTAGCCTCAAAGGATCTATTTTTGTCAAATCATAGCTCATGGACAAACTAAACCATTTGAATAAAACAATCAACTATATGATCTTTTTCATGTTAAAGCCTTTAGCAATTTAACATCCATAATTCAAAGATACGACGAGTGTTATCTATTAATCAAGTTTCAAAAGAAATATTTTTCATAAAATACATCTTTATCACTCAAATGCTTTATATTCTTTACAATACATAAGTTTAAATAAAAATTATAATATTTTCCTTAAGCGTCATTTACCTTTAAATCTTTAAAAATAGAATTTCTCAATTGTAAAATAACAAGACATTCTTTATGCAACAAAACTCAAAATACATGGTGATATCCTTTCCCGCTTGTCCCCACAAGTATGGATGCACATTTACAAACAAACTCATGTAATAACTCAAATATGATTTTAGAGAAAATCCCTCAAGAAGAGTAAGTTTTAATCAACTTACCTCAAGTCCAAGCTTCAAATAATAGTACGATGCTCCAATTCATTTAGAACTCTCAAATGTCGCCAACAAGCCAATATCTACATTAGACATCCCAAG